TTTTTTTTTCTATTAGTTAATTCTTTAGATTTTTGTGGTAAAGGGAATGCTATTCCTAAATACATTAGTTGAAACTTAGCCAAGTCTTAGAGGACTTTTTTTCATGTATGTTAGTAAGGGAAGGGGGAGAATGGGAAGGTCAATCTTCAGGTGAGGGTTGGTGGAACTTCACAAGGGGGTTGGAGGATAATCACTGGAATCATAACTAAGCTTCTCGAACAGGTTGGTCCAGGAAGTTGTGGAATCTCTGGCCATACAAGTTTTTGTTACTGAAAAGGGTAAAGCCTGATATAATCTGGTATGAATTCAGTGTTGATGCTGCTTTGGGAAGGTGACCTACTGAGTACCTGTTAATCTGAATGCCTGTATGATTCTGTCAAAAGACAAAGAGGGGGTAGGTCTGCTGTCTTTAGGAGTTAGGATTTCAGTGAAATACCATGTTATCAGGTCCTTGCAGTATGAGAYGGTTCATCTTGTCCTAGTTGTGTTCCACCCCTATTGCCATAAATGATTCTCATCCTGTATGGAAGTCAAAACTGTCCATTCAGAATGTGACAGAGAGAGGCTGTTTTGGTTGATGTTGCCCTGTAAGGAGTAAGGTGTTTATTTCCTCTCCGAGTCTGTGTGTGTCCGTGTGTCACGGCCTCATCCCGTGGCTGTTCCCGGGCCGCCCTTGGCGGGAGCGGCGGGACGTTGGACACGGGCGCCCTCTGCAGGCGAGCGCGGCGCGGAGCCACTGCGGGCACCGGGGGCTGCGTGTGCCATCGGAATCACAGSGCATGGCTCTGTTAGGAAAGCAGCCTTGTAGGACGAGAGGGACGGGCTTTTGACCTTCCCGACATGCTATCCTGRCTTGTGTGTCCTGTTACTGTACAATGTTTTATCTGAATGTGTGACCTTGYATTCCAGTGTCAATGGGACATCTTGGAAAAGGCAGTTCAGATTGCTTTATGATCATACATTGATGCCCGAGTGCATAGGGGTGTATGAACAACTAGTTGACGTGCATTTTAAATTAATTTTTTTGTTTTAATTTGTAAAAGTTTGACTGCAAGATTTCTTTGTAGTGGCCAAGTTGGTTCCCGAAGTCCRTCTATGATCAACAATGACTCTGAAACCTTAGAAGAATGTATGGTGTGTTCAGACATGAAGAGAGATACTCTGTTTGGCCCATGTGGCCACATTGCCACRTGTTCTCTGTGCTCACCACGGGTGAAAAAATGCCTCATCTGTAAAGAACAAGTTCAGTCTAGGACAAAGGTAAAAACCTCAGAACTTTCATGGTTCTCCTGTTTTTTAATGGAAAAGTCAAAAAAGGAAAAAAAAAGAGGTCAAGGAAATACATAGCTTATTTTATGTGGTGTTATGCTTTACATGTCTCACTGGATGGAATTAACTTTGTATCATAATGATATCTTGCTCTTTTCTGTTTCCCTGTCATACCTACCTCTCTCTACCTTGCAATGTCTTTATTGTTCAGGTCCTCAGAGTTCCTGATACAGTCACCTGAGGATGCTTTATTGAAATAGTCTATTTCCCCCCTGCCATGCTATTCTTTTTTTCATGTTAAGATAAATTGCTGCTTTTTTTGCAGTATAATTTCCCTCAGTGATATTGAATTCTTCTGAGTTCCTTTATTCCTTAGGGCTGCTTGAAAGATGTTTTGTCTGTAAACTGGGTTAATGTGTGCTTGTTTTTGAAGTTAACAATTACTTTCAGCTTTCACTTTTTTTTTTTTTTTTTTTTTTTTTTTTTTTTTTTTTTTTTTTTTTTTTTTTTTTTTTTTTTTTTTTTTTTTTTTTTTTTTTTTTTTTTTTTTTTTTTTTGGGGGGGGGGATTTAGGAAACCCAACTGCATTTTTTTTTTCAAACATATTCGATTAGTTTGCTTGTGGTTTTCAAAAGCCAGCTGTTAACATAGTGGGAGCTCCCTTTCTCTAGACTTTCATTATAGTCAGGACACGGGTTCTGCCACTGGGTGATTGGAGCAGCAAAGTGAGGCTTCTGCCCCTACTCATCCATCTAAAGAAGCTGATCTATGGAAACAGCTTTCCTAGGTGAAAGCTAAGCTTTTTTGGATAACCTCTGATATCTTTTGCTGAACTAGTTGGAGAGATTGGAATATCTGGTCAATACTTCTCTTATACTTTACTGTATAAATGCTTACAGTATATCTGCAAGGCTAAGAAATGAATGAAWCAGGACAATGGTTCTATGAACTGGAACAGGTGGCCCAGGCCAGTATGAATGGAATTTTATGTGATGTCTGCGATCCTACTATACATGCCCCATCCCTGGTGGTGTTCAAGGCTGGGTTGCATGGAGCCCTGAATAACCTGGTCTAGTGGAAGATGTCCCTGTCCTTGGCAAGGGTTGAAACTGGGTTACCTGTAAGGTCCTTTCCAACCCTAGCCATTCTRTGATTCCATGATACATGCAGCTCTCACATTGAAGGACTTTAGAAATTCCAACCCAGAATATTAAAATATTTCTGTAAAAGTACCTTCTAAGTGAATTTCATAGGATCATAGAATGTTGAAAGGGGCCTTTGAAATTAGTCATGTAACTGACATCTAACACCCTGCARTGAGCAGGRGCATCYGCAAAGAGATCCGGTTGCTCAGAGACCTGTCCAGCCTGRCCTTGAGTGTTTCCAGGGATGGGTCATCTACCACCTCTCTGAGTAACCTGTTCCAGTGTTTCACTACTCTCATYGTAAAAGATTTCGTTCTTATATCTAGTCTAAATTGGCCTTCTTTTACTCTACCCATGTACTACTGCAAYAGGCCCAGCTAAAAAGGCCCAGCTAAAAAGTTTCCAATCTTTCTTATAAGCTCTCTTTTAAGTACAGAAAGGCTGTAATAACATCTCCCCGGAGACCTCTCTTCTTCTGGCTGAACAACTCTGATTTAAGTATATGTAATAGAGTAAAGAAGGAGRAAAAAAAGAAAAACAAATTTATATATGTAGGGTTAGTTTTGCTTYCCTCTCCCTGTCATTGTATTGAATGTATAAAAATTGCCAGTAAATATCTGTTCTTAGAAGTTGGTGTGGTAACTCAAGTGAGTTGCATTTTGAGACGCTGAATTAATTAAAAAACCTCACTAGATGGAGATTCTTGAAGTCCACATGCCTTGCAAATTAATGGAGAGAGCAGGAGATAAACTTCATTMAAATGTGTGTGTTTTTCTTTACAGATTGAAGAATGTGTGGTRTGTTCAGACAAAAAGGCAGCAGTGCTCTTCCAGCCTTGTGGYCATATGTGTGCCTGTGAGAGTAAGTAACTTGACAAAAGCTCTTTTTGAAGTAATCATGAAAGAGAACATTTTTAATCAGATTACTAATGATCTTTTAGCAATCTCATTTCAGATTCAATTTACTTGCTAGTCTGGTGTGATTGTCAGAATTTTGGCATTATTTGTCATGCTGGTAATAATTGGAGGACAAAGTGGAGATTCTCATAAATTTAGAAAGCATGTGCTCTTGCATCTGAATTGCTTAACTGTGAGTAGGCTTGCTCAGATTATRGAAGCCTACTGTATATCATTAACAYTTTGGAAGTAATTAGAATTAATTATGTTGTTTTGTTGCAGCTTTTTCAGGGCATTCAGATATRCAAATGGTGTTTTAAAAGGATATTGTTAATAAATACTCAGTATGCTCTGTTACAAATCTACAGATAAGCACAAGGGCTGTATTTTTCCCCAGAAGTCACTTCATCTATCTTTTCARAGAGAACCAGTTACATTTCACTTTGGTTTATCCCATGTAGTGAAAAATTACATAGATCTCCAGAAAATTTTGGTTTTGAGAAAATGTGAATGAGAATACAGCTATCACCTTGTCTCCAGAYATTTCAGGGCTTTGTTGAAGGGTTGTTTGCTCAGAGAAGAGTAGTCCTTATTGATGAGGATCTACATAAGAGGGAAGGTAATCGTTCCCATGAGTAACTGCTTATTACTTGGTTTTGCTAAAGAAGTCTGGTTTCTTCCTCTGTTCTGGCTGAGGCAGCTGACATCAAATCACTGAGTAGTTATCCTGATCTGGCCTCTTTCACTGCAGTTGAAAGAAGATGAGAGAAGTTTTTTTGAATYGTTTCCCAGGAAAGAAGACAACAAAAAGATTGATTACTGTGGTGAAGGATTTCAGCAGTGCAATATACATTACCAAGTCTAAGCTGTAAGAAGGACAGCAAAAGGTTTAACAGTTGTAGATGATTCCTTTCCAGATTTTTTTTCTGAATATCTTGTTCAAGYAGGATGAGAAAGAGTGTTCAAGTTTGTTTATTTTATAGGACCCACTCTTCATTCGCAGTAACATTTCAGCATTTATTAGACAATAAGTTGCCTTTTGCAGAAAAATTACAGCCCCCTTTCTTGGATTATATGAAAAGATGTAGGTTTACTCTTAAGGGTAAAAAGCTGCACCTCTTTGCCCCTGGAGCATTAGGACAGCAACATTCCTTGTTCTAAAGAAAAAAACCCAGATAGCCAGGACATTCTTGGAAATTCTGGTCTCAAATACGTGTGATATTGCCTTTTAACTTCTGTAATGCTTGTGAACTAGACATCCATCTGGAGAAAGAGGAACCTGTTCATTTGAAATATCTTAAAAGGAGATAAAGAACAGATTTACTTTGAATCCCAAACAGGACATTATTGAGATGTGAATTGCAGAAAATTATGTCAAGATGAACTCAAGTCATTCTTTGTATTAAAAGCATCTGTTAACTCATATCTGTATGGTTACTGTGAATAAACAAATTCATTGATAGAAAAGAAGAAAAATGAAGTAGCAGGATTCAGAATTGATTTATTTGTCTGTCCCCTCAGATTGTGCAAGCTTGATGAAGAAATGTGTACAGTGTCGGGCAGTGGTTGAGCGAAGAGTGCCTTTCATTATGTGCTGCGGAGGGAAAGGTACAGAAGATACCAGTGATGATATTTGTGAGTGACTCCAGAGCCCATACTCTTTCATGTTCCTCCACCAACTTACTCTCATTCTCCTAAATGATCTAATACTTCTCTCCTTTCTGAAGAAAAGTTTAATAAAAAGAGTGTTAACACAGATATTTGTTTGCTGTTTACACTACTTCCTGCATGGGTAGCAGCAAATGTGGTAACAACACCAGTACAGTCCAAACCATCTGTGATKACTTGGGCTACTTACTAATGCCCTAAGAAGTAAAAGCTGAAGGTTGTCTTTAATTGTATGAGCAAATGAGCATACAAATGTGGGGGGTTTTTTGACCTCTGGAGCCCTGAAGGAATGGTAAGTACTTTGCATCTAGGTGCAAGAAACTTTCTTGACAGAATGTCCAGTTTTATAGCTCCTGTTTTGACTAGTTTTTTAAGTTCTTGTGACTTTCCTGAGTAACTTCTATGAATTATTGTATTTGCTCTGTGTGAGTATGTGTGGTATGCAGTATTTCAGTTGAGTTTTTGGAAACTGGAATTTTAGGCAATTCTTGTAATAATGTTGTGAAATAAATAAATATAAGAATATTCATTAAAAAAGGTTTTCAGTGGTCACACTAGAAATTTGAGACTTGAAAATTTTTCTGTTTCACATAGTAAAATTGCTCCCCAGATCAGTCAAATAGAGCAATATTAATCTGAGCTTCCTCAAATTTGAACAAACTACTTCCAAGACACTTGTGCAATTTTGAACACCAAATAGAATCATCTCTGTAGATAAGAAGTCATTTCAGTTTCAAAGGATTTGGCTTTTTTTTCTTTAAACATATGCAAAAAAATTTGTTAGGAGCTTCACTGGCAAATAAGAATTCGGAGAACATTAAGGGACTACAAACATCATTATTATGGAAATGCTTGTCAAARAAGTGTTGCTGCTGAACTCAGAGAAATTCTTTGTTGTGCTGCAGTGATGGTGTAGTGAATTTAATTAGATTATCAAAGATGTTTGACTAACATTTTTTCAGATAATTGAAAAATTGTAGCTGTGACACTGCAAATAATTATTCCTGGTTCATTAGATTGCTGCATAATCACGTATCTTTATTTTCTTCATGTTACAGCAAGTGGAAACATTCCAGTTATGCAGAAAGACAAAGACAACACTAATGTCAATGCAGATGTACAGAAGCTGCAGCAACAGTTGCAAGACATCAAGGAACAGGTAAAATAATGGATAAAAATTGTAAGGACCACAAAGCTAATTGAAAAAGGCAATGCATCCTCTTAKTATTTAAAGCAAAATGACATGTTGAAGTGATCAGCTCCTAACGACCAAGATTTTTTGTGTGATGTGGCTTGAATGTCTTCTATGTACAGGTTAAAAGAAAAAATCAAGTGGTCACATTTGATAATCCATTTATTAGAGCATGTGTGTTGATGTGGCTAAAAAAGGATGCTCAATTTAATGTCTCTGAAGAGCTGTTCCTGTCACATGGTGACTGAGCCAGCAACCCAGTAGCAAAAATTCAAACCAGTTTCTTATGTATTTTTTATCTGTAAAAGATCATRCAGATTGAAATTTGTCGTTTGAAAATGCATGTCTGTCTTACGTAGAAACTCCAGATGTTATGTCATCTCTGGCGTCTTGGATCTGCTGTTTAGCTTCTGCTTTATTTTTATACATTGAATGGAAAGAATAAGGTTACTCTTCTGGCATTTGAAATGATACATGCAAAAGATGCAGATGAATGCTTAAATGCWAGTAATCTGTTTTCTTCAGATATATTTTTTCAGGGTACCTCAGGAATTACAAAAGATTAGAGTTCTGTTTGGGTATGCTGCTACTATTACATGTAGGCACACAAAAAGAAAACTGCTTTATATTACAGTTTTTCTTTATAATTAGATATTACTTCAGGGATTTTTTTTCAGTTTTCCTTAAGTGCTCTTTTATTCTTTATGATTTTGTCTAACCTTTTGGATTTGCTAGCCAGCTGCCATAATTGTTCAGGGCCTCTGACTAGAAAGGGGTAGTTTGGGTAATTCCTTGTGTGCCTCTTGGCTTGAGACTCTCTTGTGTTTTCTTTACTGTCTTTTGTGCTTAAATTTGTGACAGGGCAAGTTGTTTATCATACTTGTGAGTAGCAAGTCAGATTTGATTAAAATTGATGGTTTCATCTTTTAAATTTGTGATTGAAGTTATGCACAGCATTCCACTATGACTGTGTACTCTTGATTTGTGCTGTAACAGTTCAGTCTTCATGTTAAATGGGTATTTTTCTACTTAAAATTAATTTGTTCTCTTTCAGCAGGTATAAGCCTTTGTTTCAACTCATACCTTCAATGATAATCTAATATGTTAGTGCAGCAAGCTTTTAAAACCATTTCTGGTGCCAAGCAGAAGTGATGCTGATGTCAACAGAATCTCCCACATCTGATGACCACACCATTCTTCAGGGATTCCCTGAATGTGAACCCTTATGACTGTAATTGCAATACCTTCACTCCATTTCACCATTCATTTCATAATCACTTCACTCCATGACATAATCACCATCATCTGTCTGATATCTTAATGTATGTTCCTTCACCATACTTAGATCACTTTCTTCCTCCTTAAAAATAAATTGATTTTGTCACTGTGCACCTGTATATTGTTGTAAAAACTGTTTTTAACAGTGAGGAATTGATACTTCAAGCAGTTTAAAACCAGTTACAATTTGTAAACCCAGTTACATTTAAGATGCAATGAACACTTTTCCAGAGTACTTGTCTGAAGAAGTCATTCTCATATAGAGCAGGAGTAGTGCCATGTTATACTATTTTCCTTCAAAAGATAGGAGTCAAATATTTCAGGCAGATAAAAAATAGAATTTCATGCAGAGGATGTTCTAACAAACTAATAGTACCATAGTTACAGATACTGCTTATTTCTCACTCTTTATTTTTTACTGCCTGAATGGAGCATAAGGCTTGCAGTGAMCCTTCTTTCACTGTAAAAGTACATATAAGATAGTGGTTAAGTAAGGAATTCTCCTTCTAAGTTGGATAAAATGCAGTTATCTGGGCTTGTATCCCACTGGGAAACTGCTAAAMTAATTGAGAAAAGCCTGTCAGAATAGAATTGTGTATAAAACAGGAAGCTTGTTCCTGCCAGCTGAGTTCTACTGTGTGAAGTAACTTAAAAGTTAAGATAGTATTATGTTAAGAAATTAAACAGCCAGTGTATTTTATATACCCTGCTTTTGTACTAAGTTGGAGAAATTCAGCAATTTTCTAATACATAAAATGAAAATGTTGGGATTTCTGTTGCTTTACTGAATGAAATAGTTCAAAGTAATGGTGTTCTAAGAGATTTTTTTTTTAATTTCTGAGTCCCTTAATGGATGTTTTCCTTTTTAAAYGATGGTATGGCATTTGGAGAGAAACATTCTCTTGTATCTTCAGTAATTTTGACATTGTATTTAGGCACAAAAGCAAATAATTTGCTAAAACATAGAAAAAAAGGCTACACATTGGGGATTTTCCCAAAGATAAATGTTTGCTTTGCTAGTCCTTTGTGAAAGATCATCATGCCAATGCCGTGRAATTATAGACACTTGTTACACAACTCTATATTCATGGCATTGTAAATAGCTGTTTCGCTGATGTCTGAAGTCTGTGAGTTACTGAAGGAAGAATACTCTGAATGTCCCATTGAYGTGTGGGATATGAAGGTGGTGACTTAGTGTGAATGGAAAAATGAGCGTGACTGACAGCCTTTTGCAAATTTTTAGTTTGAGAATGTTTTGTTACAGTACCATGGAAATTCTAGCAAAGCTAGAGCACACCCCCCTTCAGGGTTTTTTTTAAACATGCATTGACTTCAGATTTTACCTGGAAGTTTTATGTTCCTGCTAGCCCATTATACTAATATCCTGGAGATTAAAGTAATAATTTGGCCAGATTCCATGCCAATTTAAACTCTTAAGCAGAATTGTGGCAAATTTTTTTTGGTCTTCAATCTACTCTAGGAAGTAATACCTATTGATTTCATAGAAAATGTCTTTAGAGTTTTTCTGAATAGGGTGCCTTGGTATGGATTCCTTCTCATGCAATGAACAAATTGAAGCCCCAGTGATGAATACAAAAACAAGTAACAGGTGCAAGATAGTGATAAAATTAATTTGTGCTTGAAATAGGAGCCTTGTCAGTGTTTCATATTATGTATGAAATGAAATACCAACATTTATAATTGTTAAATACATAYAGTATGTCTCATCTGACGACATCATAGATTTGATTTGATCTACTATAAAGCAGTCTTACCAATTTTAATCTGTTGTAACATCTATTCATTTACTAACCGTTACATATGAAATTCTAATATGGCTGCAATGTATTTATGGTGAAGGAACATGCCTTATGAAAACTTCAGTTTTTGCATATGACAAAAGGTGAAGGACGTTGTTCCTTAGTGGCTTGGTACAAAATGGATTTTACTGTTGAAACACTTTAAAAGATCTTTTTTGAGCATTGGCTATCAATTTACATTCAGCAATTAAAACTGATTTTAAAAGTTTGCTGTGCTGCTGTTATGCGTGAAGGTTACMGATTTACTAAACTGTTCATTTGAAGCTTGAGGTGTTCTTTTGGTTGAAAATCTAGATAACCTCTACAGACAAAGTACTAAATTTTTACATATCATCTKGATTATGAATGTTTTTATTCCTTCTGCATGGGTTGAGGGCTTGGTGTTCASAGGTAAGTATATGAATGGCTAGATAGCCCGAGAAGAAATCTGAAAATCATTACCCAAGCATTGCATACGTAAAGTTTTTGGGTGTTGCGTTCCCTGGAAGATTACATGATGTAAAGGGGAATGTTTTTGAAGAATGTTTTAATATTGCAAACTTGGGTAATGATATTGAMATTGATGAAATTGAAATGATATTGAAAATATGTCAGCCTACTACTGGATTGCCTCAATGAAAGGAATCCTATTCAGAAAAAACGTGCGTAGTTGTTTGTGCCATGATGGAATAGGAAAAGCCCATATAATTGTAAGTCAATGTGAAGTAAAAATGAAATTTTTAAAAACCCCAATTTTGCTTAGTGGCTGGGTTATGCTGTGACAATTATCTGCTATGCTTAGGATGGCATATTTGTTGTTAAATTTCAACAGTTTATATGTTGCATATTCAACGCTGTATAACTACCACCACTGACTCTGTAATCTGCCAATATCTTTTCCAGACTATGTGTCCTGTCTGTTTGGACCGCCTGAAGAACATGATCTTTCTGTGTGGCCATGGAACGTGTCAGCTTTGTGGAGACCGAATGAGCGAGTGCCCCATATGTCGCAAGGCAATTGAACGGAGGATCCTTCTGTATTAAACAGGGGCCAGTGTCTTTTACTAAGTTGTGAAAGAATAAGGACATCTTGATGGTTTAAATCTCTGTAAGTGTGAAAGGCAGTAAAGGGTTCTAATGAAAACATTCTAATACTGTAGCACAGGTTCATTCAGTAATTGTTWAAAGACTGTGAACACACCAAATAAAAGAAACAGTATTTGAACAGWCAGCTTGTAGCTTTACTCTTATCATCTAAGCCTAATGCTAATTAAAGYGGTGTTTTTATCATTTTCTTTCTGTCTTCTTCTTCCCCTTAAAGTTCAAAGGGACAACTTTATTTTGGTTKTGTTTATATGTATCATGTATGTATCAGATGTCAAGTGATGTAAGGGAATTTTTTTTTTTTTAATAGTGTCAGTTACTACCAAACGTAAATATTTAGGCTATTTTTTGCTTTATAGTTTTCTGGAGAATGTCGAGGTTTCCTGTGACAGTTTCGATTCACAGTAATTCCTATCTGTAGGAATACACAGTCATGAAAAATCAATACAAAATACATACACAGTAGTAATAAATATACTATTCCTGTAGGGTCAGGCCTCGGAATACAATGTTAAGGTAGTTCTGACTTCATCGTGCACTTCGTTCCTGAGGAGGGGTTGTGTAGGAAGCAGTAAAAAGAAAAATCTGTTCCAGAACAGATTATGTTYTGAAAACTGCACTTTAGTCTAACAGGTTCAAGCTAAGTAACTTAAATAGTGGGTTACTTGAAGCATGGGAATTGCTTTTAAYTTGACTGGAAAGGAAAACATTCAAGCAGTAGGTCAGTTATCCCTTTCAGATGAGTGAATTTGATCARTTGTGGAGAAACATATACATGCGGAGCCATTAAAAAATTGTGGATCTGTGAATTTGAAAAAAAAAAACAGCTTTTGCGAGATTTCTTTTTAAGTGAGTTTTATTGTCTCCAGGCAAATAGTGTCAACAGCAAAASAGAATATTTAATATTGGCTATTCATCTAAGTGCAGTGTTAACACCAGAACTTCTCTGTGAGCATTACCGAGTAATACGTCATATGAAGATATTGCTGACAGAACAGTGAATTTTGTGAGCTGTGCCTTGTTGAGCTGAATTTGGCTGAAGGAGTTTGCTTTCACTGGTACGATAAAGAGCTGTTCCTGACCCCCAAAATGCTGCTGTCAGGGACTGCAAACTATTAACATTTTGAAAACAAATGCATCCTTTCATCCTTTTTGATGGTAGAAAATAAGCTGATTTAAGGATCTCTTGTAGCTAAATCCAGGTTGTGTGAATCTGTGCTTACTCCTAAGTGATTCAACAGTTTTCTGAGTGCATAGTTCATGTAGCCCTTTGCCATTGTGCAAACTTCATTTGGACATGCTCTTGCAGTAAAATAAWGAAATCCGTGCTGGAGTCACTTAGGTGCCTTACTTGCAGCTAAGATGAATTTATCATTGAATTTTCMTTGCATATGGCAAAAATGTGGACAAAGGGATAGTTCAGGGAAACTTCCAAGTAAGGATAAAGGCATGAAATTGTGGTCTTTCCAGATAAATCAGTCTGTCTTCTGAAGCTTATGTTGATATGCCTGAATTGTGCAAATGTTGGCAAATGTCTCAGAAGACTGTTACTAATAAACTGTAAAGACAGACAAACCTTTAAGCAATAAGAATAAAACACTGAATAAAGCTTCCCAGGAAACAAGTACAGTGATACATTGGTAAAGTGTATGTAGAGTGGCATTTAACATCATGAAGTGATGTAATACACAGCCTTACAATAGCCATCTTTAATCCTCATCCAGCATTCCAAGTGTTCCTCATTATTTTCAGTGTTTTTTTCATTTCACACAATCACAATCTGGAGTCACTGTAGTAGTCTGTTTTATTTTGTATYCTAGTGGTCATCTGTTCTCAGATAATCTGCATTTGTATTCTTGGCCAAATTAAGTGGTCTTCCCTTTTTTTGCTTCTTGGTTCCTATTCTAAAATCAAAATTACAAGGAGTTTTGTAAAGTTTTTCATRTTAACCCTTTTTTCAGTTCAGCATTTTGCTATCTCCACTTGAGCAGTGCATGCATCTGTGTGTTCATTGCAGTTTTTATTTGGCCAATATGCATGTCACCAAGGTTTTTCGTTTGGTTTTTTGGGGTTTTTTTTGGTAACATGTTTTACAGCTGAGCTTTCTGTAATAGGCTTCAGTTTCTTGTTAGGCTTCCCTTGGTAATACTTCTGTAACAGTGTATGCCATTTGATGATCCATTCTGAGTTTCAGCCTGTCATTCATCAGATTTGTCCTTTGGTTTCCTGTCGCCTGCAGACACGTTTTGTCCTCTTCATTCTTCAAGGGGACCTCTGCAGACTTGTCAGCACAGATRTAGGGTGGATCTCTTCCTGATAATGCAGCTCAAAACTGACACTTCAATATAGCGGTTTGCATTTTCCTGATTCTTTTTTTGCTGGAACAAGCCAGAATTACTTGAAAGTATTCCAGCTTAGTGACAGTTTAATAATTCAGCTGAGTTACAACAGATGTGAAGCATCCTGGGTAGGAAACTGGATTTGAATGTTAAGTATTCCTAGTCTTCAGAAGGCACATACTCGTAGCATAGGTAGGTAAGGTCTCTGTTAGGCTTTTCCCTTTCAAGAGAGAAGATGTAAGTTACTGCTTAGCATCCTTGGTACTTGTAGACCATCACAGTCCTGTGGAAAGGGAGACAATGACTGAAGGTATTGCTACAGGAGCAGTTTTAGCYTCCCATACTGCAATCACAGCATGTGTATGTGACTGCATAGGAGTTTGTGATTGGACTTATTCAGCAGTGTTGTGTGCAAGTTCAAATTGATGTCAGCTTGATGCTAYTTTGGTGCCAAGAGAAACAATTGAATTAGAAAATCTGGGAAAGCTAAACAAGATGCTTGAATTATTTAAATAGGTCTCTTATTGACAGGTAGAAGATCTGTATCTTATCCGGAGATGGCTATACAGTTTGCCTTTCAAAAAATTTAATGAGGAAAAGTATTTGTAAATCCAGTATCATTTGTGGAAGTAGATATTTATATTCAGTCCCTCTCTTTGCTCATAGAAGGTGAGCTAGYGTTGAGGAACCCAGTAAGCTCATTCACTGTATTCTGTTGTTATCTGTGCAATGTGCACCGAGTGCAGTGTTTATCTGGAAAGCACAATATTTGAAGGATGAAAACAGCTCACTTGAAAGCCAAAGGAGATCTTAACAAGTAGGAGAGTYGAGGAAATATCACTGTKCATCTGTCTTCACCAAAACATTAAYGTCTAAACTTCACCTGAGCAAAGTGAAAATTAGAAAAATCAGTGAGRTATTTATCTCTAATTTACTGTAAAATCRTRGAATGTAAGAGTTGCAAGACACCTAAAAATAYGTATTGTTCGCTGTGAGGTATGTTCAGATGTATAAGTAAAATACTTTCTTTTCTGTTCATTCATTAAGAGACATACACAGTCAGATCACTACAGAGTGATTTAAAGTATAAAGACAACCTAAGAGGTTAACAGAATATGCTTAATAGTTATAGATTGTTAACTTTTGTGTAACTATATTTGACTTCCTTTCGCCCCAAAACTTGTATCATCACTTATTGTGGCCCGAGCTCGTATGGCACTTSTCACAGTCTGGGCCATTATTACCTACTTTCCATTTGCTGGATTCTGTGTATTTGTATGTTGGGATTTGGAGAAATCCCATTTTCCTGAAGTGGATACTGAAAACTACACTGGTGAGATAGTAAACAAGTTACTTTGTTRATGTGAAAATTTGATTAGAAGGTGGTGTTCTTAACTTGGACTGGGTGAGGATATAGCAAATTTGCACAAGTACTTGTGCCTTGTTAGCATAGTCTTACAATTGRTATTTTAGCTTCTTTTAAAGACGTGAAATGGTCTTCTAAAAATAATTAAGTACTGACTGTGTAGATATTTTCTAGAGATGAAGGTTTATGTCTAATTAGCAGTATTAATTAGTTAGTATGAACACTAAATTGTTTGAAGAAGCTGCTTTCAGCTGGTGATCTGAGCTTCCTCTACAAAAATAATTGTCAGAAATTTAGTTTTACTCTTCCAGTAGCAGCTGGTGAACCGAAGAGCCTATCCTGTTCTTTGTGCTGCATGGGTCAAGTTTTCACTTTAAAAAACCAAACCCCAACAACACTACAGTCTAACCTTTAGCAGTGCTACCTCCTTTCTGTCAAAGTGCTGAATTCTTCTCTAGCTGTTCTTTGTCTTTGGGAAGRGATAGGGAACACATCAGTTTTCTTTGCTTCATCAGTTTTGATGTCTGAATACATTGCAAAGGTTTTTTACTTCATAAAATTACAGTGTAAATCGCATTTAGTAGGAGTGTGTGGTTTGTCACAAAGTATGTTGTATACCTGTTTGCATAAGTTTCTGGAATTCATACTGTTATCTTTTTKTGCATTTCATAACTTGTTTATGTTGACAAAGCTAAACTGTTGTCTGCAGAAGCTTTYGTGTGTGCCATTTTTATAGCTAAGCCTGTGGTAAATACGCAAGTTCTGACTCAGGGCTTTTTAACAACTTAAACACATTCACAATATTCTTCAGCACATCTTGGAGAATACTAGAGATTTAATGACTGTACAGTGCCTTGATAGAACTGTTGAATGGGCAGCAGCCATAGAGTCTTCGTAGAATGCAAGTATCTTTTGAATCCCGTTAATGAGTTGATGTTAATATAATTGTAATGCCCCTACCATGGATTTATAAACTTGTATATACTTTCTGTAAAGGAAATTCAGCAAATCTAGGTATTGTTAAGCTTTCTGAAAGCTGTTTATTTGTTGCACTGGTCATGAGAGTCTGAAGGGCATAATATTCAAATTTACAGAAGCAGCTTTTGTGTCAAAAGACAGCTGAGAAAATTTTCTGTTTGTGAAATTTTTAGTGTGAGGGAAGGGTCATTGTATAAACATGTAAAAGTACCTGCTTTACTCTGATGTAGTAAATCTTTTGTGAGAGAAATAACCAACAGCAGACCAGTATGTTTGCATGCCATTTCATAGTTAGAAAACTTAGTCTCATTTTGAGCTTCTAGGAAATACTTAATTTGTCCCAACCTTAGTGTCTTTATGAATGCTAACTATTCATGTTAGGAAAAAAAACAGGTCTTACTGAATCACACAAACATTTTTACTTTTGTTAAAACCAACTTTGTATTTTCAGTAAACTGTAGATTTTGACATGACTGTTTATTGGAGAATTTTAAGGTTGCCTGTGTGAATGTAGTGTATTTCTGTATGCTGATAGCATTATATAGTTGCTTACTTTAAACTGCTTAGCRAGGTCTAAGCTTTTCAGAGGAAATGCTGATGTACTGTATGGTTAGTTAAACTTGTCATATAAGATGTATACTGACTTTTTCAAGAGCTTTGATTTAAAAGTATAATTGGACTGAGTACTGATTTTTTGCACACAACATTGGAAAAGGGGTGGTAGCTCATTTGTCTTCCTCCTTCTTAGTTGTAATGACATTAGATGTCACCATGGAATTTGAAAATTGTATACCTGAAAAAATATTTGTGAACTTGGTTACTTGTTGGCATACAATGTTTAAAAGTGCACCAGAATTTATTGAGAAAGTTTGCAGTCCAAAGTTGTTAAAAAATCTTGTTCTTCTATAATATGCTCCTGAAGATTGAGTTTGTGGAAGCATCAGAAGTGCTACGTGCCTTTGAATCTCTGAGGTACTCAAACATTGTTAAAGCAGCACAATAGAAGTTTGAAGGGTGGATTATGTATAACAACAAAAAAGTTGGTTGAAATTTTTTATCTCTGGCACATGTGCAAATTTTTCTGTAAATATGCAGTTCATAGTACTGTTCTACTGACCAGAGTTGCTGTTAAGTGTATGTTAGACTCTGTGTTTACTCGTAATTGAATGGCCTTTACAGATCTGGCTCCGTGAATGTGATCATGTAAACATCTCCTGCCAGATACAGTAACTTCCATATTCTGAGACAACAGATGCTGCATCATAGTTTGTACTCTTAGGATTCAATTTAATGGATGCATTTGTAAAAAAAAAAAGTCTGTGTAATCAAAGGCAACAAAACCAACCAGACTTATATGGCTTAGTGTTTTTATTTGTCCTAGTGTACAGGTGAAAAAAGGAACTGACAGAATAAAAAGTTTGTTTCTCTCTTTCTCAGTTTCTTTGCGTTTTTCAAGTTTCATCAGCCTTGGTTTATATGACAGTCTGTATGAAAATGCAGTGTTTTCAAATACTTTTAAGAAAAATTTTTACTTTAAAATAATTGATACGAATTGTTGACGTACATTTGAAGTAGCCAGTTGTTCTTTGCTTTGGGATTTACAAGCTGTTTCTCCTTACATGTTCACTGAACRTGATGGAAGCAGTGTTGGCATTGGTTCAAGACTTGATCTCTGTTGGTCTCAAGGGTTTCAGCCCTTGCTGTTGATTGCATTGGAAGCTGTGGGTTTTGATCGTGTTTGGTAGTGATGGATTTAAATTTTGAGAATGCTATTTCATACAGTACAATATAAATAATTATTATAACTTTATAAATACTGTGTAATACAAATAATTTCTGTAAAATGTTCTTTGCTGTTGCAACTCATTCCRTCTATATTCCGTATACAGTCATCTGTTTTTGATAGGGATGGTGAAAGTGCATGTAGATATTTCCTTTGTAGCTGACATGTATAAAATACAGAGGGTGGTTCTTCATGGATGTACTCTGTTTCGTTTAGGGAGGAAAAGTTAGCGGTAGTATTGGAATAAAAAGCATTAGCCTACCTTTTCARCTTGTATTTCCTTTCCTTACGGTGGAAGAACAAGTTAACAGAAACAAAATTGTTCAAGTTCTTTTTGTGCTTTGTGCAGCCCTGCTTGTGACAGTGATATACATTGGAAAACTTCTACTTTCAAGAATTAATTATGTCAACTTGATACTTATAAGAAGGTTTTGGCTGAAAAAATACTTYAGGGTTTTAAATAGTTTGTTCCCTTTTCAGCACAGCAGTATGTTGTTGCTTTCCAGGAGATGGTGAGGTGGGGTTTTTTTGCAGTCTTTAGGGAGTGATGCTATAATGGATTAAGATGGTTCAAATTACATTAAAAATCCAGAATTTTGCCAACTGGCAAAATGTATAAATTTTAGTCTTTAACAGTGCAAGACTTTATGTTACAGGAAAGTCAGTGCAATATCTATTACAGTTAGGATTTGTTGATGCTTACTTGACTTTCCTAGAGAAGCTAATAAACCTTAATTTCTATGAAATTGCTTAAAATTGCGAAAATGGGAGACTTGGGAGACTATAGTGACCTCTTGCAACGTTATAACACAATTTGACTGAATTTTCTTTTAAAATAAATCTGTGGGACATAAGGAGACAATTCTGAACCGATTTCCCTACAGATGCTTGTGTMTCCTTAAATGTGTATTTCTCCCACAAGGGGTCAGTAGCACCCTCCATTTGGCTCTAGTTTTTATTGCAATATAAGCACAAAGCAAACGAGGGATAAGGATAATGATGATTGCATTAATATGTGGGTGGACCAGACCTCACTTGTCTCCTTCTTCAAGCAGGTTAAGTATAATTAGCTTATTTGCTGACTTCAGTAAGCACCATATTCTATCCTCTGACTCTCATGTGACATGAACATTGCTACTATTGATTAGGGCAAAGTTCCAGTGGAGTGTTTGCCTTTAGCTCTAGTTGAAAGTRTTCATTTAGTCAAGCTCTTTTTCAAAAGCATGCAGTTGGAGCAGATAAACTATATGAGAGAGCTTGTCCAGCAGGCAGAGGGAAAGAATTCTTGTATGAGTGTCCCACATATTCTTAATGATAACCACAGTCTCCCTAGATGTCTAGGGCTGATTAATATTTTCCACCCTGTAGTAACACAGCTTATAGTTAAATATGCTTTGAAGCCTATCAGGCTGCTCAGTGGAAGGAATGTCCAGCTTCTCAAAGCTTCCCTGAGTATGTAAGTTACTTGAAGGCCAGAAGTTTGAAGTAACTCATAATYTTTCTGCCAAGAGGCTGAACAGACCAAAGAGCTATTCCTTAAAAAAAAATTTCCAACCCTTGTAGTGAAGTCATGTTCCACAAACAAATAGAAATCTTGAGATGGTCAATGTCATTCAGGTAGAGGTTCCTACATGTGTTGAATTAACTGGCCTTTCTTCCCTTTGTGTGTGCAGCTCTTGTTATTCTGTCCCATCTGTTGTGGGTTTTGTGTTCCATAGCCTTAGTGCTTTTGTCCCCACTTCTCAAATCCTCCATTACAATTCTTTCTCTGTCTGTATTTTTGATTGCMAAACTGTGTCCCTTTTTTCTTGGTATGTCCTTTCTGAATGTCCTGTTTTCCTTCCACTTGGGGTTGGCATAAGCATAGTGAGGCCCTGTGCTTATGTCCCTAACTCCACTCTTAATTTCATGTACTGACAGGAGGAATTCCTGAATTTGGTCTTGGCATAATTTCACATTAATTTGTYGGCATCCCTTATTTCTCTCTATTGGTGATACAAGAAAGAGGTTTTGGCTACCACCTGAGAAAAGGATGGGGCACTTCTCGTGGTTTAGTTACCTCTGGTCTCAACCATATGAGGAAATTCACTATAAGTACATGTTTCAAGGCTGTTGCTTTTGGTGGTGTCTTTTTGTCATAGGCCGTCTGAAATTTTCATTCTTACTGTGTCTTGGGTTCAGTTTTTGGTGACAAGGTACTTTCCAGAGAAACTTGGAACACTCCTAAAGACAGTAACTTCCATTTAGAGTGTCTTGCACACTTACGTTGCATGGAGGAAGTTTAGTAGGATTGCTTGCAAAGGGAAGGGGTCTGGATTTGGATTTTTTCTACCTCCATGAAGAATTAGGAAAARAATTCCACCTCTTTGAATAAAGTAAATCTGAAACCACATTCCAAGTAATACTTTTCTGCTAAGATTTCATAAASCCTACTGTGTACATACCTCACAGCTGTAAAGTATCCTGATATTCCTTATGAAAGCTATAGAAACAGCAGTTGTAAAGCATTTATTTCCTAATGGCCATAGATTGTTATCTTTGAAAAACAATACTAGTATTCTTCCTCTCTTCTTTTGTGATGAGACCTGTAAAATAAAGACTACTTCAGGTTTATCTGAAGTAGATAGACAAAGCTGCCTTTCCTAACACAAAGGCCTTAGTGAAGCTGTGGTACAGCCATACAATTCAAAGCACCATGCTCAAGTTTTTCGACTGTTTTCTGATCCATAGCACATAGCACTTAAAACACCTAATTTACRGTGATCTTGGGTTTTGGTCAAGTAATTCTGATTCTATGTAAGGCAGAGGAAGTCTTCATACTGTCTTCAGTCCTCTGAAACTGCATGCTCCCACCGCTTCATGTGGAGGACATAGAGTCTGGAAGCACCACACCTTTTTTTGAGGTAGAAAAGTGTGTTAGAGTAAGGGAATGGGGACACCTAAAGCTAAAATACAATCATGGACTTCTGGAGTTTGTGAGATGAGAAACTCAGATGGCAAATTTGACAGAGAAGAGTGATCTACTAAAGTTGAGCTTTAAATTCTGTAACCTCTTTGAAGAGTTTGTAGCGTAGTTACATTGAGTCCTCCTATAACCCTACCATCTCCTGCATCCTGCATATCCCACCACCCTGGATAGGTCCCTCCACACCAAAACACCCTGGAGTAATAGGTCTTATACTGAAACTATCCCACACATGGAGAAGGAAGGCGTGGCAGTTACAGGGGAGTTCCTGGTGCAAAAGTTGTGGATCTGCTATTCTATTTAACACATCTCTTTTTCTATGGCACACACAGGCTATTTAAAGGAGTAAGTGATCTTGACTTGGATTCACTGTGAACTGTGGCTGTCTGCACCCAGGCAGCAGCACAAAGGAGCTGCTGCAAATCAACTGCTCAGTAATGAACTGTGTGAGGTGCTTGCCCTGCAGCAAGCAGAAGTTGGGAGCCACTTAACGCTTTTAAAGTGTTGCAGCCAAGTAGGGTTGAGTGGGCCAAGCCCTCTGGGCATCTACTTATCCTGAGCTGACATTACTTTATTGGTAAGTAGCATGAAAATGAATTAGATTYGAAAAGCATATCTTCATTAACAAGATTGGGATACCAGACATTTAATTTTAGGCTTTATCTGCTATGCTGAATYAAACAGTGACACCAAGATTTGGCAAGCAGTTGTTGAGCACTTCAGGAAAGGTTAGTCAATGACTTTTGTAGGAGTCACTGAACKTTGAGGACATAGTCAAATAGCCCTCAGGAAAAAAAAAAAGCATCTAGCACGAGTATTTCAGAAGAGAGTTATCATTTTTTTATTGGTTGGGTTTTTTTTTTGTTTTGGTTTGTTGGGGTTTTTTTTTGTTTTTTTTTTTTTTTGTTGTTCTCAACCTCCACTGGATGAGAATGGTGCCTGGTTTTTCATTTCTCTTGCCAATTTTCAAAAAAAAGCTGCCATRATTGCTACTTGCCATCTGAATTCACMAAAATCAAACATATATCCCATGTGTCTGTTCCAGCTGTTCCTAACCATCGCTTAACTTACCCCAGAACGTCCTTCCAAAGGGAGTGAGTGTTCACTTGTGGGACTATAGGAGAGCTAGCCTTATCCTCTGTAGCTTTCCAGGACAAGGAAAGGAATTGATTAGACCAAATTGTTGATTTGGTCTAATCCTCTTCTTTCTGGCGGTCTTCAATTATCAAATGCCTTCTTTTCATGTGGCATTTCATTTTGAGAGGAAGTCATTGCTGTGCCTGGAATTCTTGGATGTGGCCCATCCTTTCCTACAAAATTAGGCCTGTTGACCTAAAATTAGTTGTTTTATGAGGTAGAGGTATTTATACATTAAGCTAGCCAGCTCTGCTCATAGGAATATTAGTAGAGATGGCCTGGAGCTATCAGGTTTTTCTAGGAAAGATAAGGGATGGCTCAGCACATCCTGGGTTAAGTTCTTCCCTGTCRCAGCTAAATGCTAAATGATATGCAGTGTCTGAAGGGTAGGTACAGCTTTRGGCATCTTCATGGCACAGTCCTGTGTCCGTAAGAACTAGCAACGAGAGCAGAAGTGCACTGCATCCATGATAACATAATATTTTTCATGAACTGATACATCTGGCTTTTCTGGGAGGGTAGGTGGCCTGAAACAAGGTCATTAGG